TGGGAAAGGTTTTTACACAGAATCCAGGTAAGGCTGTGCATAAATAATGACTAGAAACATGATACTCAGAAAACTTATTTTGGAAACAAGTGGAAGGGGTCCTGCCCATGGCAGGGGTGGAATGAAATGAGCTTTAAGGTCCTTCCAACCCAAACCAGTCTGGGATTCAAAGATTAAAAGCTGCAGAGAAGCAGGTCTAATTTAACCAACCCAAACTTCAGCAGCTTTATAATCACCCTGGGCAACTGCTTTGAAGTGTGTCCCTTCAAACTGGAATGAATCAGACTTGATAAAAATAAAAATCTTAATAGAAAAATAACAATTTATAGAGTTTTCTTTGCTTCAAGCATTAACAAAAAGGAATGTTAAGTCTTTGAAATACTGTGTAGCAGGCTGAGATGGCACGTTAAATATTTGAAATGAATGTGAAATTAGAGAATCATCTGCTGGCTTTAGTCACAGTCTGGCTTTAGGTATTTATTATTAAAAAGGTGAAAAAAGCCAAATTTCTGACAAAATAATGACCAGGAGATTAATTAAACCCATAAGCATCAATCCAGAAAAATGCAGGGTTGGAAAACAGCTTTTCTCTCCAAATTACTGGATTTTATATACTTACATTTTTGTTTAGAAATAATAGCACAGTGTTGTGTGGGAGCTGTCATTAAACCCCAGGCTGGAGATGGGACTGTGCAGTCCCCAGGACTCTGCTGCTCAGGTGACACAGTAGGGTTCTGCAGGTGAAGGATTAGCAGAAAAACACTGTCAAGGGTTTTTCCCACACTTAAAAAAAGAATTGTGACTCTTTTTCAAGGGGAAGTTTTGGCACACAGAACCACGAGATGTTTCTGTCATGTCCCAGAGATGTAGCTTGGGGGAATTTGTGTGTTTTAACAGGGAAGAAAGGGCAAAGTCAGGGTTTAAATTGAGAGGTTTGGAGAGCAGGAGCACTCTGGGGGCACCAACCCCACTGGGAGCAAAGCCCTGGCAACTCCTGCATCACCAGAGCCCTGAGCAGGGGGAGATTTTTCTCACTGAGCATCATCCCACAGTGCTGCACCCCCCTCAGGAGGGGTCATTTCCCCTCGGCTGGAGGACACAAGGTCTGGACAGGACCTGTTTCCATGTCAGCAGCAATTTCCCTCTCTCACACATGGGAACTTCTTTCATTTCACACCGTGTTGTTAATTCTTGTATCTTTTTGGCACAACCACCCTGGCAGGTGCCTCTCTCTGCCCCACCTGCCTTCAGCTCTTCCAGAGCAATGAGATCCCAACTCACTCACCTTCCAGGAGCTGATGATCCCTGTGGGTCCCACCCAGCTCAGGTTATTCTGGGACTCACTCTCTTTAATTTTGAATATCTTCAAACACTTAATTGAAGCAAACAAACATCAGCAGTGACAAACATAAGACTCTGGCAGTGTGTTGGCACCTTCCTTGCCTTCCTCAGCCACCCCTGTGAAGGTCAGCATGGTGCCCAGGTCCCTGATGAGCTGCAGGAAACTGTCATGGGAGAGCTCCAGCATGCACTGGCCAAGATCCAGTCCCTCACCTTCAGCTTCCCACTCTGGCCAGCCTTGATAACCCTCCCAGCCCTGTGAGGAACCACCAGGAGTCAGCAACAGCATAGCAACACTATCAGGACTCGTGGAATCATGGAGTATCCTGAGTGGGAAGAGATCCACAGGGATCAGAGTCCTGCTCTTGGCTCTTCACAGGGCAGCCTTAAGGATCCCACCCTGTGCGCGTCAGAGAAGCATCAAACAGACCCAGAATTGCCTCAGTCAGAGAACCATGGAATATCCTGAGCTGGAAGGGACCTACAAGGATCATCCAGTCCTGGCCCTGCACAGACATCCCAAATCCCACCCTGGGCACCCCTGGAACAGTGCCCAAACATTCCTGGAGCTCTGGCAGGGCTGTGCTCATTCCCTGGGGAGCCTGAGCAGTGCCATCACCCTCTGGGGGAAGAAACTTCCCTGAGATCCAACCTAAACTCCCCTGACCCAGCTCCAGCACTTTCCTGGGTCCTGTCCCTGTCCCAGGGATCAGAGCTGCCCCTCCTGTCCTGCTCTAAAGGGTGTCACTGCTGGTACAGGAAAAACCTGCAAATAACAAGGGATGTTTCACTGGAGGTGAGCGGAGACACCAACCTGAGCACGGCCTTGTCACCTGCAGGGTGTCCTGCCTGAAGGGAAGGAAATGGGTCACACCTGCAAAGGGATGAGTGAGCCCATGAAGGCCCAGAGTGCTCTGGAGCACAACTTTTGCCACAAACAATGCAGTTTTCCATTTCAGGCATGGAAAGGGTCAGTACAGAAAGGTCTGGCTGACCTCTAGCTCCTGTGGGCAGCCTGTGACAGGGGATGGCTGCTGTCCTCCCTGGGGAAAAATCCCTGGCAGTCTTTCAGCTCCTGTTTGTGGTGTTGAGCCCCAGCCCAGGGGTTGCCTCAGGAGCTGAGCTACAGGGGTTAGGCCCATGTAAACACTCAATGGTTACGTGTTACTCTCAGTGGGGCTGGAGGAATCAGCCCCTGCTGTAGGTTTGGAGACTCTGGTTTAGCCTTTCTGATCATGGATTGATCAGCTGTTAGTTTTGTGTTTGTAATCCATGGCTCTGGTTTATCTGGGGTCTTGGAGCTATACCACGTGTAAATCCTAGCTTTGGACTCTATGGCCCCAATCGAGGAAGAAGATAACCCCAAATTTGCACTTAGCTGGGAAGGAACACGCGTTGCCAGTGTTTGAGGAGAAGATGAGAGGCGGCCCAGGGGAGGCCAAGGCCAGGCCTATTTGTCGTGACAGCTTTTGTCTGGGAGCCATCCTTGGCTGCATTGAATTTCAGAGAAATTGGCACTGAATGTCTGTCCCAGAGTATTCCATGCTCTGGGTGCTAAGGGGGCATCAGGATTCCAGTATCTTGAGGAGATGGCAGCTCTTTTCCACGGGAAGGGAAGAGTGCAGCCCCAGCATTTCGGGCGCAGACAAGCGGCAGCCCAGGGGAGGCCAGGGCCAGCCAGAGCTGACAGTCCCAATGGCCTCAGTTTGGGAGAAATCCTCGGATGTTTGAAGGTTTAGGAGGTGGAATCTCACTGTCGGCCAAAGGCACCTGTGAAGAGTGGTTCCTCTCCTCAGGAAGGAAAACCCAGCACCTCAGAGTTTGGGGAGCAGCAGAGGGGCCACCATGGAAAGGCCAGGGCTGGCCACACCCAGCAGTGCCAGCAGCTTCTGGCTGGGAGCAGCTTTAGAACAAATGTTGGTTTCCAACACTGAAAATTTTAGAATGAATGTTGGTTTTCCACTCCTAAAATTGCCAAAGGCTAAGGATTGGTCCCAGAAAAAAGCTGCTGGGAATGACGGCTCTGTTTGGATTTGGTCTTGCAGGGGTCATCCCACAGCTGCTCCCGAGACACCAGGGACAGCTCTTTTCTTCCCATGGAAAACAACTGTCTGTAAACCCAAATCTAAACCTAACACTAATGACTAAACCTAAAGCTAAATCAAACACTCTTTCCCCTGATCCCAACCATAAACTCCAACATATACCTAACCTAACTTTAATCCCCTTACCCTAAGCTTAACCACACATCCTAACCCTCACCATTAACCATAAACCTACCCCTAACACTAAAATCTAAACCAAACCATAAAACTAAGCCTAAACCCTAAATCCTAACCCCTAACCATTAAAGCCAACCCTAACCTTAACCCTAATACCAATCCTAACTCTAAGGCTAACCCTAACAAGTTAGGTTAGAAAGATAAATATCAAGGTGAGTAGAAAGTAGATACTTGAAAGATCAATAGCAAGGTGAATTGAAAGATACTAAAAAGTATCATAAAATGTACGTACCAGAAACACGAATAAAAGGAAGGACAGGAAGTGGGTACCAGAAACATCAACAGCAAACTGAATAGAAAGTAGACAAAAAAAAAAAACAAACCAGATATGAAAACTGTAAATAGAGGAATAGAAAGTAGGTATTAGCAAGATTGATAGACCATGGATACCCAGACCATAGGTACTTAAAATGTGGAAAGAGCCAGTTCCAGGCTGGGATTCTTTGTTTCTGATGGTCCTGGAGCAGTTGCCAGCTTTTTAATTTTTTTTAATGTGGTTTGGGTTTTTTTCTTTTTATGCTGTTCTATTTTGTACATGTGTGTGGTTTTTTTTTTCATTTATTTTTGCTTTTTTTGCAGTTCTTTGTGCTGCAGGTGTTTGGTATTGGTTATGGGGGTGGCAGTGGGAAAAAAATTTTGTCCCCTAATTTGCATATACAATAGTATATTTGCATAATTTGTCATTAGTATAATTATTCTTCAGTGCTCCATATGGGAGTAAGTGGGGTGGAGAATAATAGTAATGCTATGAGAGGTGTTACTCCAATCTGGAGCACTATTTATGGGCTTTATGCACTATAAATAAAAAAAAGACAAATAATACCGTCTGGTGCAGAAAATGCGACGCTGCCTGGAGGCAATTTTTAATTTATTTAATATTTTTAATTCTAAAAGTCTGAACAGAAACAGCTCCTGTGTCAGACCGAAGCAGGCACTTCACCGGACCTAAAACGCCACAAGACAGGCGAGAGGGATCCAGGGCGGGGAATGAAACCGCGCCGCGAATTCCCTGGAAAAGCAGAAATCCCAAAACCCCAGGGAATGTCACCGCGCCGCCCCGGCAGGAGCCGGGTGGTGCCGCCCGCGCCCCCCCCCGCGCCCATCCCGTGGTCTCTCCCGCCCCTCCGGCCCAGCGGGCCCCGCCCCCCGCGCGTCACGGCCGTGCCCGCCCGCGATTGGTGGACCCGCGACGCCTGGCGTGCAGCGGCCAATGGCGGTGCTGTGCCCCCCCCCGAGCCAAGATGGCGGCGCCGCGGACTGCGGGCGGGCGGCCCTGAGGCGGCTGCGGGGGCCGCGCCTTGCTCCGCGCCCCGCGCCGCGCCGGGGGCCGGCCGGCCGGGGGTTCCCGCTCCCCGCTCGGGGGCTGGCCGGCCCGCCGGGCCCGCCCCGCCCTCTGCCATGGCGGCCGAGAGCGGCAGGCAGTTCTGGAAGCGGAGCGCCAAGCTGCCGGGCAGGTGAGCCCCGGGGAAGGGGTGCGAGGGCCGCGCCTCCCGCGCTCCGGCTGGAGGCTGGAGCCGGCGCTCAGCCTGGGGAGGGGGCTGTCACCCAGGCTGGTTCTGGGGCTGAGGGCACCCATGTAAGGCTCGGGGGATATCAGGAGAGTTTGTCTCGGCTGCGGGGCTGAGGAGCTGGTTGGGGGCCCCGGCGTTCCTCACTGAAGTAGGGGGGGATGCCAGGGCCACCGCAGGCTATGGGACAGGAATTTTGCTGGTGGAAGGCTTAATGTATAGGGGACAAGGGTAGGTCAGAGCTGCTCCCTCATCTGTAGGAGAAGGCAGGCTTGTGGGGGCTGCGTGGGGCCCCTGTGCGCCCCCCATGGGAAGCAGGGTGGAGGGATCAGGGGGCCTTGAAGGCCTCTTTGGGGTAGTCCCAGAGCCAGGTACCCAGTGTGCCATCTTCCTTTCCACAGATACTGAAGAAAACTCATCTTTGCCAAAGTCCTTAGAGGTGTCACCTTGGGTGGCAGTAGCTCTGTCCCCAAGGGGTGACCCTGATAACGCACGGAACCCCCCATTACCCTCAGCTGTGTGGGATGTCACTCCTGGTCCCCCTCTGCTCCAGAGGAAGGACTGTAAGGGCTCTGTTTGTACCTCTCCTGCTTCAGTTCCTCTGGCTGTGATGTCCTGGTTCCTCTCAGGGCATCTTTACTCACTCAGGGATGGGAGAAACAAGTGAAATGTGTGACATGGTATTTAGGAAGAAGAGGCTGGTGTTGATGAAGGAGAGGCTCCCTACAACGCCTTGAGAGCAAGCTGATGTGGAAAGAGGGCATCAGCCTCTCTGTGGAGGCTCTCTCAAGTGCTTTTCCTTCCTGGTGCTCCTTACTTTTGCTCTCATTTGCCTTATCTGAACCGTGCCCTTCGCCTTCTGGGGTATGGGTGCAGTCTGAAATGCTTAGTTGGCTTTAAATCTTGCTGGGCCAGTTAAATATCTCTTTCTAATGTGCTTTCACTCATCTGCTTGTCACTGTGCAACTCCCTCAGTTGGCTGGACAATCCATGTCTGTGGTGAGCAAAGGGAGAGCAAGGACCTCTCTGTTCCTCCTCTGCTGCTCCTGTGGGAGGAAAATCCTGTGCTTTCCCTGGGTTATTTCCTAACTGCTCCTGTCTCTTACCTGAAGGTCTCAGCCATACTCTCAGCTGGTAGTCTTGGACACCATCTCTCTTCTGCATGGACTTCTGAGCTTTGCCTTGGAAAGCTCAAACCAGGTGAACCGGTCTGGCAGGCAGCTGGTCCTGCCTGTGACACTGCATCGGGAAGTTTTTGGCAGTGTTCTCTCCTTCTCCTAACTGCCTGCTTGGCAGATATCCTGGAGCCCGAGCCTTGTTACCTCTTGTGTGCTGGTTGTTTCCAGGGAGAGCCACCAACAGGTCTTCAGCAGCCTGACTCGGAGCATGGAGGTGGGATGTGCTGCATCCATGGTCACTAGACATGAACCACCCTTTCTTCTTTTTTGTCCAAGCTTTGGGAGACCCTCCTGTACAGATTCTTGGCTGTCTCCTTTCTTTCCCCTGACAATCTGGCAGAGGGAGGCTTTGTAGGAACTTGGATACTGTGTTACCTTCCTTTTCCATGACACTTTGTGTGTTTGGTCACTTAGTTGTATTAGCTTTTATTTGCCAATAAAGTTTATTAGCTTTTGGCCCCTGTAGATTTAGGGTGGATTTTAGATGTAGCTTTAGAATTGGTAAATGCTGTTTTGTTTTTCCAGTGCTATCTTGTGGTTTTTTCACTGGCTATTCTCTGCCTGGTAATTTTCTAGGGATGTGTTGGCTGAGTGCTGTGGTGTGTTGTCCTCTGTGATGGGTTGTTTATTCCCTGCTCTTTAGACAGCCAGAGTCTGCTGGGGTTATTTAAATGCTGTTTTAAAAGGGGAGAAGCGGCCTGCTGGAAGTAAATGTGTTGTGTGTCCAGAGGGGCAGTGGCATTTCATGGCTGTGCTCTGCTGCAGTGTCAATAACCCACACCCTGGGATGATCCTGTGATGTGTCACACAGGGAGCACAGCCATTGTTACTCACACGATTGGTCACCCCTTGTACCCTGCAGTGAACATCCAGGCAGCAGGAAATGCCTGCCCCAAGGAGTTTAAACTGGGACAGAGCAGGGGACTCCTCCAGTCAGGCTGGGAGCACAGCTTAGATCAGCTTGAGATTCTTTGGGAGTGTCTGGGTTGTAAGAGTTTAAAAAAGAGCTGTGTGCAGGTGGGACCCTCTGCCATCATATCAAACATTGATTCAGAACCCCAGGAAAGGGTTTCCTCCCCCAGCACTGGCTGCCACATCCTCTCCTCTCTCTAACACACATCCTTCCTTGGTCTTGTGAAGTCCAGGCCTTCACAGGTGAATCGAAGCAGTTCCCCCCTGGCAGCCTGTGGGTCCCTGACAGGGAGCAGGAACCTTGTGCTGGATATCCTGGGACTTTGGTACTGGGCATGGGAGAGGCTCTGCTGGCTCCTGCAGGGAGCTGCCACAAGTCACTGGGAAGCAATGCTGATCCGGAAGGCTTGTTCTTCTTCCTCCTCATCATCACTTCGCTATGTCCACTCATGGAAGTACCTCTGCTTAATTGCTGTTCTGACTTCCAGATGCTCATTAGTCATCACACTCTGTCCTAGGCTTAATCCTTGATGATAAAGCCAATGGGGACTTCCAGCCATGAGGGACAGCCACTGCAGGGGTGATCCCACCCCCTAGCTCGGCTGCTCCACCAGGATCTCTCTGTGCTGTGGTTGTTTCCAGCCTCTGCCCTGGCTCTCTGCATCTCTTCCCTGCCAGCTGGACCTGTTGCTTCTGCATCCTCAGCTTGTTCCCAGCTGCACCAGGCTGCCATCCCTCTCCTCCATGGCTGGGCTCTGCTGGTTTTATTGCTGGGCACCATCTGCAGCTCCTAGAAACCAGGCCAGCTCTATTGACCCAAGAGAAGCTTGTTCCTTGTATGCCAGCTCTGAAAGGGCCTTTGTCTCTGCCATGGCATTGCAGGACTTGTTTTCCAGAGGTTGTTTTCCAGAGTGGGGTGACTGTGAATAGTTTGTCCAATGCAGGTGATAACTCAGGATCCCCGTCTCACCTCCAGAGCCTGTAAAAACAGCGATGAGCATGTTTTCAGTAGTTGCTCTCTGAGGTGATGCTCCCCATGTAGGGCCTGGAGCCCTCAAGCTCCTTGTCCCACGATTCCCAAGGAACCAGCGACTGAGAGGTGGAGACTCACTTCAGGCCACATAGGAAGTAGTTGATTAAACTGGGATTTGGACCCGGTCAAACCACGTACTGTACCAGGCATTCCTTTTCTGTGGCATTGGCTGTGATCCTGAGAAACAGCATGGGCTTCAAACCCTGAACTACATTTATGGAGGAGCCCAGTGTCAGTGCATGAAGTCCTTCTCTGTCCCACAGGGCCTGGGAGGGTGACTTCCCCAAACTGGGGAACTTGTTGGAAAAGAGAACGAACCTCAGTGTATGCAGCAGGTAGACTGAGACACGTGGTTAAATGGAGTGAGCTGGTGGTGCAGGAAAGAGCAGATCTCAAATCCCAGCTCAGGCTGGACAAGGCCTAAGAAGTTAAACAAGGCTTCTCTTTGCTGCTGCAAAGAACAAATCTTCATCTGCATGTAGCATTTTGGATTTCAGGCTTGTAAATTAGAAGGTTTTTGCAGCTGCTTTTGTTCTCTGCTCCCAAAAGCAGGCAAGAAGCGTGACCCCAGTTTAGGCTGAGATTATTTGTAGGACCTCTTTTTACAGCATCTTGGGTTTTTTTCTTTTCCCCTTCCTGCAGCATTCAGCCTGTCTATGGAGCACAGCATCCTCCACTGGATTCCCAGCTCACCAAAAAGTAAGTGTTTGTCTCCTGGAGATGCAGGCCACAAGGCCTGGCAGGTTTGGGGCTCAGTTCTGCAGTAGGTGGAGGTCTCCAGCATCCCTGGCACTATGATACTGCAGCAGAGAAGGACAGCAGTGGGGTGTGGTGCTGCCTTGAGCTCTATGAAAGCTTGCAGGGAAAGCTTATCTGCTGGTGCCCTTTATGGCCAGGAAATCCATACAGTAACATCAAAGGAAACAGACCTTTTTTTTATTTTTTTTAAAACAGTGTCTGGTCCTTCTGCTCCTCTTTGGAGCTGGAGGAATTAAGGGAAAGTGAGGTAAAGCTGTCCAGCAGCTACAAAGCTGGAGAACTGCAGCAGCCTTTCCAGCAGGAAAAGGCAAAATTCTTGGTTTGAGTTGCCTCCTTGACCCCATCCTGTGCTGTGTAGTGGCAAAAGTTCCCTGCTTCAGGTGGTGGACTTTGTAAGCTTCTGTAGCTTAAGGGTAAATTCCTTCTTTGCCTGAGGAAAGACCCAGGCTGGTCTGGCTGCTGAGAACAACTGCAGCTGTTTTGGGAGTGTCCATGGAAGGAGACCTGCTCTATCTGCCCTCTGACATGCCTCTCTCCAGGTTGCAAGACCTTTTTTTTGGGTGTTAATCTACTTGTTTTGTGTAGGGTTGGGGAAGGCAGAGCTGGAGGAATTGTACCTGTCTACCTTTTGCCCTTCCTAGCCAGGAAGGCTGGCACTTCTCCAGCTGTGTGCTGCCACTGTGGCCTCTGAGACTGCTGTCACAGCAGCCTGTCACAGCCACTCCTGGCGGTGGGCAGCGCAGAGAGACTTAATGTATTCCTTAGGTCTGAGAGAAGGAACAGGGAAGCTGGAAAAAGGGGTTGGCTGATTGGAGTGAGGGCATGGGGAAAGAAAATGAACTCATCCATGGCTCTGATCCTGTTCCTGTGGCTCACAGCTTCATCAGGGACCGCTCCAAGGCCAGTGGGCTGCCCATGAAAAGCAAGAAAGCCTCCAGCTTCCACGAGTTTGCCCGCAGTACCAGCGATGCCTGGGACATTGGGGATGATGAAGATGAGGACTTCTCCTCCTCCTCCTTGTCCTCTTTGCAAACTCTGAACTCTAAAGTGGCCAAGGCCACGGCAGCACAGGTTCTGGAGAACCACAGCAAGCTGCGGGTGAAGCCCGAGCGGTGCCAGCCTGCCCTCAGTGACCTGCCCACCAGCTGCAAGGTCATAAAGTCCAGCAGTGAGGCCCAGCTCTCCAGGACCTCTGGTAAGAGCCATCCTCAGGAGCAGCCTCGTGCTCCAGTGCTCTCTTACTTGGCCACTGAACTCAGCTGCTTGTTGCTCGCAGTATGGGCAAGAGGCAATGAGCACAACAGAGGCTTTTTCTTCCTTTTAGTATCCTGTACTCCAAGGAGCCATTTTCAGAGGCATGGCTTTAAGGCTTGTGTCCTCAGCTGCTCAATATCCTACATACCTGTCTGTCCCAGAGTATTCCATATTCTGGGTGCTAAGTCAGTTTTGAGGTCTGTTAAGTTCTTGCTGGGACTTGCTCACTGTCTGCTTCCACGGTGGTTTGGTGTGCTGCTCTTAGCACAGGTCTGGCTGAGGTTGTGTTGACATAGCTTGGGCAGGGAATTGGGCAGCAGCAGCCTCTGCTCACTCTGCCTCATCTGCCTGTGCAGTGAGATTACCTCAGGAGATGGCACTCACAGCCTGTCAGCTCCTCTCTCTGCACTAGCAATTAGCTTGATGGGTGTTTGGATCTGGAGAGCAGAGCAGATCTGGACATCAGTTCTGCTGTGTCTCCTGTGTCCTACTCACATGTGGAGGGAAGTCTGATCCACTTGGAGCCAGGCGTCTGGATGCAGGAGGAAGAGAAGGAGGGAGAAATGGGGGAAAGTTGTGGAAGAGCCACAACAGATGCCTGTGAATGGATCCCTTGGAGTGGGCCAGCGATGTTGTTCTGTGGTGCTGAGGAACAGAAGGGTGAAATCTGCATTGTCTGACAGTGGCTAGGGGAGTGAGGTGGGGTTGGAGAGGTGGAACCTCCTTCCCCAGCTCAGTGTAGCATCTGGTTCTTGCTAGAGGAGGCCTGTGTGCGGAGCCCCCTGCAGAAGCAGCAGTCCCTCCCCCTCCGACCTGTCATTCCCCTTGTGGCCCGAATCTCTGACCAAAATGCCTCCGGGGCTCCCCCCATGACCGTGAGGGAGAAAACGCGTCTGGAGAAGTTCCGGCAGCTCCTTTCCAGCCACAACACCGACCTGGGTGAGTGGGGCAGAATGAGGGTGCCTCTGGGTGAGCAGGGGAGGGCACAGGGGGCCTGCTGCCTGCATCAGGTCTGCTTTGGGGTGGAAAAAATCACTGCCTGCAATTGTACCAGATGGGTGTTTGCAGGAATTGCTCTGTTGGCAGATGGTGATGTCCTCCAACCCCTTCCTGTCTGTCCCTAATGATTCTCCATCTTGCACATGATGGTTGGCATCACTGGGGGCTGTTGGGCTCTGCATGAGAACTGAGGTCCTGGCACACTGGTGACTGTGCAGCTCCCAGTTCTGTGCCTGAGCTGGGCTGAAATCATCTCTGCTCTCCTTGCAGCAGACCCACATCCCCAGTCATTGCTAGTGTGGGAGCCTTCCTGGAGGCTCATTGTCTCCAGAGCCTGCAGGAGCAGACTGGGCTTTCCTCTCCTTCTAGGTGTAGTGGTGCCTGGACGTGCCTAGGATCTAATCCATTGCCACCACTGTCCGTTTGCAGATGAGCTGAGAAAATGCAGCTGGCCTGGTGTGCCCAGAGAGGTCCGGCCTGTGACTTGGAGACTGCTGTCAGTAAGTACTGGGAGCTGTGACTCTGGAGTCTGGGAGGACTGGGCCACCTCAGGGACACATGCTCTACACCTCCCTGTGTCCCATAGCTTGTGTGTTCCTAGTGCCCAGCTTCCAGGTGAGCTGTAGGGTTTTTTGATCAGCGGATGCCATTGCTGCATCCTCTCTGAGCTCAAAGCCCAGATTGGTGTGGGGACTGGGTGGTTCACTCTCTTTTGGGGGCTGGGAAGGCCAAATTCCATGAAAGCTATTTCCTGAGCTCCAGAGTTGTGTGCCTGATGTCTGTGGGTGCACAGCTGACAGGATTACAAGGGCTGGTGAGGAAAGAGGGTCTCCCCTGAGCTGAGTTTTCCCAACACAGGGCTATCTCCCTGCCAACTCGGAGCGCCGGAAGCTGACCCTGCAGCGGAAAAGGGAGGAGTACTTTGGCTTCATCCAGCAGTACTACGACTCCCGGAATGAGGAGCACCACCAGGACACCTACAGACAAGTAGGAACCCTCCTCTTGCCTTTCTGCTTTGGGTATAGCCCTCTCCTCTTCTCTTGCTGCTGCTTGTTCCCATGGGTGTGGTCATGCCAGAACTTGCTCTAGCTGTAGCTAGGAGTCGTCTTCTCTTTGGGGAAAAGGCACCATGGTTCTGTCCTTGTTAAAGCTTTTCCTAAATTGATCTAATAGTAAATTTCAGTTCTGAACTACCTGCCTGCACATGAGCAGAGCAGACTGCAGATAACTGTAGATGATTTTCTCAGTACAGCTGTCATCTGTAGCCCACTGTGCAGCTCACTGTGCTTGTCAGCTCTTGCCTGGGGGAACACTGATGGTAGATTCCCCTCTGTTAGCCTGTGACAAGTTATTGTGCCCCTGGAAAGCACAGCTGGTGTGTGTAACTCACCTTCTTTTCCAGATCCACATTGACATTCCAAGGACCAACCCACTCATTCCCCTCTTCCAGCAGCCTCTTGTTCAGGAGGTAAGGGGGGGTGAGGCTCCTGCCCTGCATTTGCCATGGGATGTGTGTGTGGAGTGACTGCTCCTAGGAAATTAACTTTGTTGGGAAACTTCCCTGCCTGACAGCTCCTGATGCAAATACCTCCTGGAACTGGTCTTGTCCCATGTTTCTGAAAGACATCAAACTTGGAGCTTTGGTGTTATGAGATGATCTCTTCTTTGGCAAGATGTAGCCAAGAGCTGGTGAAAAACTTGAAGCTTTTGTTTCGAGACAAATTGAAGGCGTTTGAACCAGAACACAGGTTCTGTTTTGCTTCAAAACCTCTTTTATGGGAGCAACCTGGGCAGGGATGGGTTTGATAGGTAGTCAGGAGGTGTGGGCACCTGTCTTCTCTGGAGACAAGCTCAGTGTGTGTCAGAGCATGGTGTCCAGGGGCTTGGGGCAGTCTGGGAATGTTGGTTGTTGTGAGGGAGGCTGCCCTGTTGGGAAGTGTCCTGATCTGTGGTGTTTTTCTGGAAGTGCTGTGCTGATACCTCATCTTCCCAACTGATGTTCTGCCAAGGAGGCTGCTCTGCCAAGAGGCAGCCCTCTCCTGTGGATATTAAACTGTCTGGGATTTGAAAAGTTGGGTCTGCATTTCTTCAGGCAGAGGTTTTGATGAAGATCTTGGACTATCTTTTCTGAAGAGTGAGCTGGCCTGTGTGTGGGATTTGTGGATGACACAGGAGTCTCTCCTAGGACTTTTATGCTTCTAACATTACGTTACTACTACAGAAAAGCCTGTCAGTGCATGATCTGCATTCCCTGAGCTTAGCAGTTACACTTTTCTGCCTTCCCTTTGTGCATGGCTAATGCAGGTACCTGCTTTCCCTGGTTCTTCCCTAGATTTTTGAGAGAATCCTGTTTATCTGGGCCATTCGCCACCCAGCCAGCGGCTATGTGCAGGGCATCAATGACCTGGTCACTCCGTTCTTTGTTGTATTCCTCTCTGAGCATGTTGGTAAGTGACACTTGCTGCTGTAAGCACTCCTGACCGTGGGGTTTGAAGTGGTGTGAAATGCTGACATGAGGAAAACTTTCTCTGCTGGAGAAGGGATGATGTTCTTTTCCTTCAGAGTGCCTGGGCCAGGCTGGAGTTGTACCTCTGTATCTCTGCTCTCTGGTTGAATTGACTTCAGTTTCATAATCTTGCTGAGCCCCACAGAAGGTGAAATACTAAGGGTGGGTTTGCATTTCAATGCACTTAACAACCTCACAGCTTGGAGGGGAATGGGATCTTCTAGTCACTGAGGGAGCCATGATCTATAGAATTGGAGGAGAGTCTTGCTCTCAAAGCTGGGACTTGGCAGACAGTGCCTGCTCTAGAAGGAATGTGTGAAGTTTAGAGACCCTGCTGAGAATGTAAAAGAAACTTTAAATACAGATTCCCTCCTTTGCTGCTAGTAACAGGTGTGTGCCTCAAACTGATAGTTTCAGAAAGCAAACTGATTTCTCCCTGCTGCTTCTGGATTTCTTGTCAGCCACTGGCTTTTAGCTGGAGATCAAGTCCTTTCCACCCATGGTATTTTTATTCCTTCTCTGGCTCTAGCTGTGTTTTGGAGTTGACATGCTGGGATGTCATAATCTCTATGTTTAAAGGCTCTTAGCATCCACTGTAAATAGAAGGGAAAAGGAATTCGTAAGGCTGTATTAATGTCAGAAATCCTGTTGAATAAATATCTTTAAGATCTGATCCAAAAGTTGAAGTGAGTGAAAGCCTTGTGCTATCAAGCTAAGGCTTTGTAAAGTGGTAATAATCTGCCTCTGCTGAGGGCCTTGTGAAGGGCTGAGCCACCTTGCTTGCCACTGAGAGAGCCAGTGTGGTCAGGGTTGATCCCTGGGAAGTGCTGTTGCTCTTCACAGCCTGAAGGAGAAGGCACCAAGTGTGTCTCTGATGGCAGCTGGCGTGAATTCCCTTCTGTGGGGAACCTTCTGAGCAGATCAGATCTGAGCAGGTTCCCTTTGAGGGGCTTCTCCTATGGCCTGAGCAGCATCCATGGCATTCAGTGCTGGCAGAGGCCACTTGCTCAGAATTGATTTATTGCATTAGGAGCAGAGCTGTGCACAGTGAGTGACCTAGGCAAGAAGGGAGCTGGTGTGAATCATCAGAGCTGCATGTATTACCTGGTGTGACTTCCTGCAGTCCTGTACCCTGTTGGGTGTCAGGGATTAGCTCTCCCTGCATGTGGCAGCTGATGTTGGCCCTGTTAGGCTCTGTGCTGGGTTCGTGCTTCTCACCATCTACCAGGGCTGTTTTCATCCCCATCTGAAGCTTCTCCCCATCTTTACAGGGTTGTTTTCACCCCTACTGAAGCTTCCTCTCTGGATGTGGCCTTCCTGTTTCCAACTCTCTCTGAAACTTGGGTTGCAGGGAAAAATTCCTCTTCAGGAGAGCAGCTGTGCTGAATTTGGCCAAGCAACAACAACCCTTCTGTCTCCAGAGCCTGGGATTCAAAGCCAGCCATTGGGTCATGAGCTGTCGTGGTGGCTACCTGCTCCCTGGTCTGTGTAGCAGAGTTGAAAGACAAATCAAAAATTGCCTCTAATTTCCACGGGGAAGAGCTGGCAGTGGTCAGACCCTTATAACCCCTCTGTAACAGGATTTAAGTCATTGGTTTGGAGCCTCCTCTCTACAGCTGCCTTTGCAGACAGGCCCCTGAGAAGCTGGGCAGGCAGGGCTGAGGGCTCTCCATGCTGGATCACTGATTCTCAGGATCCCTGGAGCCTGTATCAGCTCCGTCTGTGCCGCACCCAAGTCCTTGCAGCAGGGGAGGCCTTGCACAGGTTGGTAATCCTTGTGCAGCACACCCCCAGGGACAGCTCACCTTTCTGTGGGAAGTCTCTTCAAAGGAAATTCTCCCTGTATTTTTCAAGCTGTATCTTCCTTGGGAAGGGGAACAGCCTGTATGGCTCAGCGAGTCCCTGCCCATGGAGCCACTGAGGGCTCACACACCTGTGTGTCACCTGTGGGTATTCCCATGCTCACAGGGGAGTGTATAACTGGCCTGGAAAATTTTCCCTTACATTTTCTGGAAAGCTTCCTCTGGGAAGTTGGCACCAGCACTGGCTCCATCCTCAAATCTCAGTTTTGCTGCCCCTTCTCTCCTTTCAGAGCACGTGTTCTGCTGACCACAAGATTCCTGAAGGAGTCCAGTGTGCTGCCAGGTGGCTCCTGTGCTTGGTTGCCCACCATTGTCCCCTGGGATGTTTGCATCAGAGCTGGTGATGTTGCTTAGCTGTGAAGCACAAGGGTGGGATGGCACCCTGGTCTTCTGCTGCTCAGTCCAGGGACTTCTCATGGAGCAGCCTCACAGGCTGATCCCAACTGCCAAGTCCATTGTAGACTTCTGATCCATCATCCGTGCTTTGGGCAGGTATTGCATTTGCAGACAACAAACCATCTTTTCTACAGATGAGTTAAAATCTCTCTTTGGAGCTCACCAGCTGATTGATGTGTCTGGTTGTTAATATCTTCACTATTTTTGTTACCAGCCCAAGGCCTGAAACATCCTTCAGTGGGCTTGTCTGGCATCCCCTGCAAGGACTGGAAAAGGGGAAGATGGGAACAGGGAAAAGGAGGGTGCTTTGGGCAGGGAACAGTTTGTAGCTTAGCAGTCACTTCCATGGAACAGTTTGGCAGCTTCCTTTGTTTGAAGCTGACACAAACAATGAAACAGTCAGCAGTTACCCAACAAACTCCAGGCCCTTGTGTGCAGTGGCATTAAACACAGCTGCCTCGGGGCAGGGTGAGAGCACCCACACTGCAGTGCCTCTGACTTGATTTCTTTCCATTACCACCATGGAAGGTGCAGGAAGAATATGGTCCTCTCCAGGTCCTGAAGGAGGGGGGAACTGAAGGGAAATAATTCACAGGAAGCTGTTTCTCTCAGCTGCCCTGGGTGCTTTGGGGACTGGATGAGCCCATTATTAACTTGCATCTCCTGATGCATCCCACTGACATCCCTCCTGAAGGCATCCCACTGACACTGTTTGTCTCTTCTTTCTGAGCAATACCTTGAATCCAGTGTGTGTGTGCCCCTTTGACCAGCTTCAGAAAACACCAGCTAGGCTGAGGCAGGAAGAAGCTTATCCCCAGAGTTTTCCGGTCCTTGTCTGAACTCCCCAGACGCCTTCTGCCAGTTGGGACCAGTTGCTTTTCCCATCCAGTCTGGATCCCAGACCTGCTGCTTCTTCCCAGTGCTGGGCAGACTGCATACTGCATCCATGGCAGGTGGGATAGGTTTAGCTGTGGTGTTTTCTCCTTTGCCCTAACATGGCAAGCTGGCTCATCTCCTGTGATGCTCTCCCTGCCTCCTGCATGGACACTACTGCCTCAGCTACTTGGCAACAAGCATGGAAGCTTTGGGCTCCTGCTACTGACAGATCCACAGCTGGAGTAATTCTTCCTCCTGACTGATGGCTTCTGCTGCAGGTGCTACTGAGGAAGAGCTTGAGGGAGGTGTTGAGGCTGCAGGAGCAGCTGAGCTTGTTATTGGTGCCCTCTGGATGGGCACAGGCTCCCAGCACCTCTGGAGAGTATGGGGATGAAGGGAGATGGTCTGGCAGCTGAGGAATTGGGGCAGGAATGACAGCTCAGCACCTCCTGGAGAAACCATATCCCTGTTTTTCCAGGTCATCAGAGAGGGCATAACAAGCACAGGGATACTGAGCTTTCAGTCCCTCCCAGCTCAGGTCCTGCAAGCCCCTCTGCTGAGTCACTCCCAGCTCTCAGGGCTTGTCTTTGCATTTAGGATGGCAGTGACAGAGCTGAGGTGAGTTCAGCATCCCCAGGAGTGCCCTGCTGTCTCTCCCAGTACTCTCTGCCTGTGTGACACCACTTCCATCCCTGATTCCAGGCCTTGCCTAAGAGGTTGTCCTGGCTTTGGGACCTGTTTGGTGCCACAGCAGGGCTGTTGAGAGGAGCAATGCCATGGGAAGTATTGAGCTTGTTTGCTTCTAGCTGGCTTTGTCGCTAAATCCTAATCACTGTGCAATGAAGACACGGTTTCCCTGCAAGCAGGAGCAGAAACTTGGGTGAAGGGAATGGGGACACTTGTGTCACCACTCATCCTGACCTCCGTGGGCCTGGGGCTCACTGCAGGCACTGCAGACTTGCCCAGAGCTGTGGGAATTTGTGAGCTGAGACTGGGCTTAACTCTCCTTCAGCTGTCCAGTCTTGCCCTGAACCCCCACTGCCAGAATATGGAGAGTCATTAAAGCCTCCCTATGGAAAGCAGAGATGGGGGTGCATGGAGCCCTGGCCTCTCTAGTCTTTCCCTTCTCCTGTGCCCTTCTTGAGCTCTTTTGAATGTCACTCACAGGAACTTTGCTTTTGTTGAGCCCTTGTTGCCCCTGGGCTCGGTGTGGCCATCACCAAGCCAGTGGTTTCCTTTCAGTCCCTCTCAAAGCCATATGTTGGGCATCTCCTTTTCATGAGGCCTCTTCCGTGCTGCTGCTAAGCAGATGTTTGTGCTGAGCCACATCCCAGGCACCTGGGGTTTTGTTCGAAGCCTCTTGCAATGTGTGTTGGCTCCTGCTGGGAATCTCCTGCCACTGTTTTGCTGTGACATGGGGGTGCTGGCAGAGCTGCTTCTCTTGTCCCCGTGGTGGTGCAAGCAGCAGGCTGTTCCCTGCCAGGTAACCACAGTCCCTGCTCCATCATGATCCTCCATCCACAGGCAGATTTTTGCACAGGGCTCATTCCCTCAGGGCTGAGCTGGCCTTTGCCACCAGTCCTGGGTGTCCACATGTCCTGTCCTGGTCCTTCCTGCCCATCCACCTTCCTCTCTGCGAGACATCGGGAAGGAGTGCACACTAAACAGATTTTGCCTGTCTTTGTCCCTACCTGGACCATGTGAGAGTGGCTGTAGAGAAGCCAGCAGAGGAGTGACAGTTTTGCACAGTGATGATGAAGTGCAGCTAGAAAACAGCTTTGCTATTCTTTCTGCACTACAAGATTGTGAGATGAGTGGGTTAAGCTCTTGTTTGTCCCTAAAGCTCCTGTTGGCAGTTTGCTCTGGAGCTGAGCTCTGCCCCAGAGGAGAAGCAGAGGTGGGAGCAGTGTTGGAGTCACTGGCTCTGTCCTGCCTTTCCTCCTTCAGGCAGGATCTGTTGGTATTGGTTTTCCCCAGCCTGTGGCAGTGCCTGCAGTGTATCTGAGCCAAGAGGGTGGCCTGGCTCCAGCCCCAAGCCCCATCTTCTCCTTCTCTTGCTTTTTTCCGAGGAATATCAAAGACGCTTGCCAGGATATCTGAGCCTCTGAAATGGGAAATGGGCCAGCTTAGCTCTGTTATTTGATCTGATTTAGTGGCATGACAGCAGTGTGGTGGGTGCTCTCTTCCCAAGGAGAAAAGGGAGGGAACTGCTGGGTCAGTTAATCCAGGAGAGCTAGACCTGTGTCTCCTGACTGTCTCCCCACCCCAGTCCCACTGCCTTCCTATGGCTGTTTCCCCCTCCAGCCACCAGTTAAGGTGAGCCTGGCTTGGAGCAGATGATTCTGCTCCAAGCTCAGGCAGCACCACTGTCATTCTATCCTCTTACATGCTCTGGGGGGTTCACAAGCCCATCTAAAAGCAAGGAGCCTTTTTTACTCTGTGAGAACCGTTTGGGGACAGAGCTGCCACTGATGCTTGTGTTGTCAGACTCCCACTGGGTCTGAAAAATAAACTTGCACAAATCTCTGCTTCCCCACACTGAGCCTCTTCTGTGCTTGGGGCAGCTTCTGTTTGCTGGAGCCCTCCTGCCAGCTGGGCTCCAGGAGAGGCAGAAACCCCATGAAGCTGAGCCCTGTCTGCCACATTGCCCAGCTGTCCCTGTGCTGGATTTAACTCAGTGTCTTTTTTGATGCCCAGGAAGATCTTTGCATGCTTTTGGGTCCTCACAGCTATGCCTGAGGGTCCTGCTCTCCTAGAGAGGTTCCTGAAGCTTTGGCAGTTCTTTCTCATGAGTCCTCAAAGCTGGCAGCCTCTGGGCTGGGTGCCTTTGTTGTGCTTTGGTCCTGGGGTGATGCTGATGAATCCAGCTGGGAGCAGAAACTGGCAGCTCCCTTGTGCTGCCCCAAGCCACGAGCAGTGTTTCCTTCCCTGGTTTCTGGCTGTAGTGAAGGTTTCTCCTCTCCCAGTTCTCCCTGTGGTGCTCCCAGCTGGCAGAGACCTGCTGTCCCCCACAGCAGGTGTGCTCTGTGTAAAGGGGTTCCAAAGTGCTGGATCTTTGTCCCTGCACAGCCCTTGTCCCAGAAGGATGACAGAAGCGCTGTGGGGATCCCTCCCGTGCTTCCCTGGGGAGCTGGACTGGGTTCAGGGCATGATCAACAAGTCTTTTGGGGTTCTTCAGCTCAGCTGGAGAAATAGCTGAGTGCATGGGTGCTGTGACTGTGCCAGGCACATCCCTAACACACAGGGACTGTTACAGTGCCTCCTGCAAAGCTTTAGCCTGATAAAGTCCCTGGGATTGTCCCATGTTCTTGGTGTTCCCCATCTCCTTGATGCTCTTCCCTCTCTGTTTTGCAGAGGAGGATGTGGAAAACTTTGACGTGACAAACCTGTCCCAGGATGTTTTACGGAGCATCGAAGCCGACAGCTTTTGGTGCATGAGCAAGCTGCTGGATGGGATACAGGTGAGCCCCTGGGGCCATGGGAATTCCTTTGCTCTTGCTGGGGTGGAAGTGTGCTTGTCTCCACTCCCTGACTGAGGCAGTATTCTGCATGCTCCAGCATTAGGGAGGTTTTGCTACTTCACTGAGCTAAATCTGTTGGTGAAATCCTGGGGAGGTGGGTGCTGTGGCTGCCCAGATGGCCCTGTCCTGACCAGGGAACTCACAGCAGGCAGACAATCCTGGTGCTCAAGAGCCCTGTCTCCTTGGCTCATCCCAATTGCTGATCTGGGTTTGATAATTTCTAGCTGCTATTAAAGCTGCTGCTTCTGACTCAGGGCCTCTCCCCACAGGACAATTACACCTTTGCACAGCCAGGGATCCAGAAGAAAGTGAAAGCCCTGGAGGAGCTGGTCAGCCGCATCGATGGTAGGTGACACCTACCTGCTCAGGTCTGCTCAGGTTTGTCAGCAGAGGGAGGGAGGCCTCCTTTGGGACAACTCTCAGGGCAGGGTTAGAGATCTCTTACAACACCCACAGAACCAGAGCAGGGCAGGGTCAGCCAGAAACCTGGTGACAGCACAGGGTGAGGAGAGGAGGAATTTAGGAGAAAAAGGTCTCAGCTGTGAGCAGCGTGCAGGAGCTGGGGCACTGTGAGCCTCAGGTGTGTAAGTGAAATGTGCTGTTTCAGAGCAGGTACATAATCACTTTAGGAAGTACGAGGTCGAGTACCTGCAGTTTGCCTTTCGCTGGATGAACAACCTGCTCATGAGGGAGCTGCCCCTTCGCTGCACCATCCGCCTCTGGGACACCTACCAGGTATGCAGGCTCCACTGCCCTCCCTGCCTGGCTTGTCACTGTCACCTGGGTCCCTGTCCCCATGAGGACAGAGGTCTCATGGCACCAGCTGGGGTGCTGAGGGAGATGAAGCAGTGTGGCCCCAGGATGTTTACAGCCAGCTGGGTGATGGGTAGCCCAGTAGGACATCTGTGTCTGGGGGTCATTCTCCAGTTGAGCTGAAGGAATTCACCCAGAGTTTTGCTGTCCACAGTCAGAGCCAGAAGGATTCTCCCATTTCCACCTGTACGTCTGCGCTGCCTTCTTGATCAAGTGGCGGAAGGAGATCCTGGATGAGGAAGATTTCCAAGTACGACCCTGGGGTTGGGGATGATTTCCTGGGGAAGAGAAGTAGAGGGGAGGGAGTTGCTCTGGTTGGGAGCGTAGTGTGGACATAGACAGCTGTCAGATCTGGCTCCAAGACCAGGTCTCAGGAGCTTTGCCTAGAAGTAACTTGAGCCTTGGTGATAAGGACAGAGAACTGAGGTGTTGGAGGGTTCAAACATCCCATTCCTGATCAGGATCTCAGCTCTGATCAGTGTTTGCCCTCTTGTGTCCAGCTGTAACCCTTTAACAGCACCCTTTATTCCAAGGGGCTTGGGGTGCTTCACTGGTTCAGATCTAGACCCAAGCATATCTTGATGTTGTCCCTGAGCCTTTCAGACTGCAAGTGTGGTGGGTAAAAGTTACTGAGCACTGCTGCCATTGCTCAGGCCAGCCCCCAGCCTGCACTGGATCTGTGCTCTGCCTTCAGCCTCTCCAAACTAAACACCTTCCCCTCTTCCAGGGCCTTTTGATGTTGCTACAAAACCTGCCCACGATACACTGGGGTAATGAAGAGATTGGGCTGCTGCTGGCTGAAGCTTACAGACTCAAGTACATGTTTGCAGATGCCCCAAACCATTACCGCCGATAGGTGCCCAGACTGGCTCCTCTCTCCCATGCCCGCCCCTCGTCCTGGCCCGATCTGATCACTGTGGCATTTTTGTCATCCCAGGTCCACGGACATCCCAGCCAGGAGCTGCTCCTTGCTGTACAAAGCTCACCTGAACTCTTGTCTTAACTCTGAACGTGTGCCTGTCTGCCACTCCATGCGCCTGGATGTGCCATTTTGACAACTCAGTATTTCATTCCATGCTGGTGGCTCATGTGAGGAAGGGAGGCTTCAAGGGGCTGAGGGAGAACGTGGGGGAAGGTTTACAGATAAACTGAGCCGGAGACAAAGCCCTCCTGTCCTCTCCACTCCCTGTCCTGCGCTTGTCTGGCTGGGACCACTTTGGCTTTGCTGCCTCCCGTTGCCCTACACCACATGCGCTGCCCCATCTGCTCCCTCCTCTCTTCTGACACTGCTCCAACTCCCAGATGAAAATGCCTTATCAGAGACCTGCCTGGCCACAGAATCCTTCCCCACGAGGGTGGCAGGGCAAGAAGTTTCTCTCAGGGCCTGCCTTTGCTCCAAGGGTCCAGAGACCCCCCAAGCACTTTGTGGGTTCACAAGAGAGTCCCTCGTGTCTGCCCTCCCTCCTTCTCTCCATCCTCTTCGCCTACCTCTCCCCCAGGGCAGCAGGGCAGGCACAACAGGGGCCACGACCACTCCATCCACACACACCTGGAATGATGTGTGCCAGCTTGGTGGAACTTTTGGTGACTGATGTTGAGTACAGCCCCATCCAGCATGTGGGGAAGGCACGGAGGGGGTGCTGGTAGGGGAGCAACATCTCTCAAAAATCTCCTGACAACATCCCTACTCCTCTGAGGCATTCTGTGTATATTGTGTTCTTGTGTATATGGGTCAAAGATGTACAATATATGTCTTCTCTTTGTAGCAGATTTTATATTTATAACATGCACCCCTTGTTCTCCCCATCCTCTCCATGCCTGAGAGGCATGCCTGGCTATGGTGTTGTAGGGTTTTGAACCCTTCTGGAGGAGGGGGGTGTTCCAGAGCTGCAGGTTTCTACCCCGACATGTTCTTGCAGTGCTAGCTCTGCCCGAGGTGTGACAGAAACCCATCTCAGGGTTTGGCCAGTGGAAGAGCTTGGAGCTCCCAGCAGAAGCCAAGGAGAGCCCATTGGAGAGCCATGGGCTGCAGCGCTGGCAGTGCCTCCCGGGCCCTGCAGGGCAGGGCTGTGCTGGGGCTGCACTCCAGTGATAGGAGGAGGAACAATCCTAGCTGCAGGAGCAGCTGTCCCCAGCAGCCAGGGCAGCTCTCGGTGCTGTCCCCCACAACACCCTGCAGCGAGTGCTGTTAACTCCCCCAGCTGGGGATGTTTCTGTGGGCAGAACCTCTGTGCTGTGCCGTGGGCTGGATTTGGGAGGGATTGAGGAGATGGAAACCCACCCTGGGTTTCTCCCAGCACTCCTGCTGGGCCACCAGGGCTTTCCTGGCAGGGGTGGAGGCTCCCAGTCCCTCCACGTTCCCTTTCTGTTCCCAGTGGGGAGAAAGCAGCAGGCAGTGAGGCCAGGGCCAAGCATGACAGGCAGAACCTTGTTGCCAATAAAACTCCAAACAGTATCTCAAGAAATCATTTTCCTAAGGTGGAGTTGTTTTTCTCAGGCATTTGATTTTGTGTGTGCCTTTTGTTGTTTTTCTCTTAAGAAAACAGAGTGGTCCTTAGTTTAACATCAATTAAAAAAAGAATTAAAAAAACGCCAAACAAAAAAAGCCCCAAACTCTACAAACAAAGACAGCAAAAAGTGGGACCTCTCCATGCAGCACCCAATTGTGTCACCCACTGCAGAGGGGACACAGGACGTGGCAGAGGCAGGACAAGAAACCCCTCCCTGGGTCACCTCCCTGGTGCTGCTCTTCCCATCTGTACCTGGGACCACTGGGAAAAGTAAAAGCCATCACGGTAAGTTCTGGATTTCAGGACAACATTAGCAAGGAAGAAATATTTTTTGAGGGTGGTGTTTTGTTGTTCTGTTTTTTTTTTCCATACATTAGAACATTTATTTCTCAGAGAGAAAATATACTCTCAGACAGTCAGATTATAGTAGGTAAAATTAGCTTTTTTTTTCTTTACAAGCATAAATTTTCTTATTCCTTCTCTTATACCATCTGATATAAACAGTTCTAGAAAGCAAATAAACTCACTTTCTACAATAAATAGAGCAATCTGTGCTTTACAGCAGACTGACAGTAACATTTAGGTTCTGTAGCAACAACAGGAAATCAGCCAATCCAAATTCTAAAATCATTTTAAAAAACCAAACAAAATGAAAAAAAAAAAAAAAAGACCAACTCCCAAGACCTTAAAACATATACACAGGTCACTAGTCCACAGCTGAGCTACCACCTGGAAAACTGTATGTTCCTTCAAATAAATTACACTGTGTAGCATATAAAAGACCCAGCAACACAACTGAGGACTTCAAGAATGGTGACAATAGATCTAAATAATTTAGAACATTTTACAGCTATATACACAACATCCTTCCCTAGCCACACTCCATGGGCATTATTATCAATATTAATATTTTTACAAACTCCTATGCCCCATTCCTATATGTTACAGGAATCTTGAAATTCCTTCAAATGCAGTTCCATGCCCCAATGTATAAGAAGTGGTATTTTAAAAAAGTAGAGCAAGTAGAAATGGCAGTGATTATTCCCTACTCTTCATTATCATTAATTATTATTTTGACTCCACATTCTCTTCAGTATGAAAAAGTTAAAAATAATAAAAAAATACTGAGTTAAAAAGCAAAATGATGGTATTCAATCTACAATCTTGCTTTGCACCTTTGGCTCTTTAAAATGGGAAAGCAAAGAGGGATATGCAACAGAAGAGATCAGAGAAATCATAAAGTCCTTGGCTAATAGAAAAGATGTAGTCACCAAATTCCCAAACATCAGTTTGTCCCCGTTTTTTTGCAATGCAAACCCAAACCAAGGGGACTGTCTGGGTTTACCTGGCTGACAACACTGGAGACCCACACACCAGGGAAGGATGTGCACATGTGGGAGAAATGAAACAGCAGAAGGGTTGTGTGCTCTGGTCAGTGCTTGGTTTCAGTCCAAAATGTGGCAGAAGAAAACAGACAGAAAATAGGGGGAGGAAAAAGGAAGAGGAGCCTTACACCAAATGTGCATAAACCAACACAAAAGATGCATCTCCCTCCAACCCTGATCAACCTCAGTGCCTGCAGAGCTGCTCCAGTTCAACAGACACCTCCAAAATTACTTCTTAAAAAAAGGAAGTTCTCTTTCCTTAGGTACTGTGCTAAGTCATGATAGGAAATGTTACTGCAACAAGCAGAGTCACAGAAATCTGAACTGAAACGTGAAACTATAAATCAATTGCTAGGACATACATATAGACACAGATCAGGTAATTTGATTTTCATCTTTAAAGCTCTGTGCATTTGTGCATGAAACTGTGCAGGGGGGGGAAGGTTACCAAAATCTCAAGCTTTTTGTAATGCAGTGAGAGAAATCTAAACATGAAAACATGATGTACATAGGCAAGAGAATCACAATCAGAGCTCCCAGCTACAATTCTGCGGGGTTTTTATGTGACAGGACAATGTCATATAAAGAAAAATGAAAAGGCCAACAATGGTTAGGTTAAATTTGGCACAAGAAAGTCCAGTTGGGATTCCTGTAAAGATCCTGGGGGTGCCAGGTTCCCAGAAATTACCTGGGACTGGCTGATGACTCAAAACCCTGGCAGTCCAGGAGAGGCAGGAGCAGGGGATGGTGTATGACATCCAAACATCCAAGAGCTGTGTGCTCTGCTCACTGCAGCAACTCACCTTGGCTCCTGCCACCTGTCAGCTTTTCCTACCTGTAGACTACATTTCATCTCCTGCCAGCTCTTCAGCAAGACACATTCAGGAAGAAGCTGGACAAGGTGTTTTTTGGCACATTTCGGGGTACTCTGAGGAGTGCTGGCAGCTGCTGGAGGTGCTGCACCCTGCAGTGCAGTGAGCTGGACGTGTGGAGGAGCAGGAGGGCTGGCCCAGCAGCCCCTCACAGGTAGGAGGCCGGGATGAAGGGGTTGTCCCCCTGCACTCGGCTCAGGTGGATCATGGCTCGGTCATAGGCCACTTGCACCGATTTGCGGATGCTGGTTTTGCGTCCCTCCATCATCTTCAGCTTGTCCACGGTGTCATCCACACCCAGGGGAAAGACTTTGTCCCGTGGCAGCCACTGCCTGCAGCAGAGAGGAGTGCAAAGATCTATCACCTCCTCCCCAGGAGCTTTTACCCTCGTGTAATGTATTTATTTATCATTAATGCCCCACAACGATGGTACACATGTTTAATTCCCTGTGTTTGACATAGAAGAAGCCCCTGCAGCCAAAATGCCTTCTGAGCATTGGAATCCTTACTCAAAGCTTTCAATTCTCCTTGGAGCTCAGGGGAAAGTTGGAAATTCCTGTGTTCCACACAGCAGCAAATACAGGGATGTTCATGGTACAAAGTGAGTTTCTATCCTCAAAAAAGCTTTGTCTTGTTCCAAGAAGCTGTAAGCATTAGTTTACAGTTTAGGTGAGTACAACTATCTGAGTATCATCCAGAACCAGGATGACACATCCCAAGCCCAGACTGACCCCAAAGGATTACTTTAATTGCAAATGCCTTGTCTGTAGCAAGCTTTTATTGTGTGGTCATTTGTCCAGGTTAACTGGACACTGAGAAATGTGTCACCCACCTCTCCTAATGCCATCCAGCCCCCTGAAGCTCCACCTCAGCCACTGCTGGCACAGCTCAATGCACCTCCCACTCAGCCAGTAAGGGCAATCCAGAGCAGCTCAGCTTCTCTTCACACAAAGATGATAATTTCAATCTTTGCCACCCTTCTGCAGAATCACTGAAGTCAATCAAAATTAGATCTGACTCCAAGAGGGGTTTTTAGTACTTTCCTGAAGCACCTCAGCTTCCCACAAACTGTAAACAAGGCTCTGAGTGGCCTCTGAAGAGTGTAAACATGCAGCAAAGCTTGTATTCAACAAGAGCAGGACAAAGCTAAGGAGATGTTTACTTTTATTGGGAAAATAGCTTCAATTACAACCTTGGATTTAAGATTTTGAAAACTGATGACTACAGCAACAGGAAGCATGATGCCATTGATTTTTCTGCTACAAATCATTAGTCTCTCTTTGCAGAACATGCTCTTTATCAAGTGGTTCCTGTAATCAGGAACAGGGGAACAATGCAGTGTGCTAATAAAAAGCCTCAGGAGTTTGTCTCCTGACACCTCTTTCACCCAGAGGACACAGGCACCCTCACCAAGTGATGTAAACCTGATCCCCTTCCCAGCTTCCCAAGCAGATGGCAAATACTTCTCCCTTTGTTGTACCTTGTCCCCATCTCTTCAGACCCCATAAAACCCTGCAGAATCCCCAAATGTCAGGGGAAATAACCCCCTGCAGCTTTACCCCTCTGTGTGTTTGCTTCTGCTCTATTTTCCCTCCAGCCCTGGCAATGTTCACCTCCTTCCTCCAGCCTTTCCCTGACCTCTTGGAGCTTCCCTGCTCTTCCTGGAATGCCAGCACAAACTTTCCTCAGAAGAAGGGCCCTTCAAACACCACAAGGCTTTTTTTTAAACTCCTGATATTTTACAGAGGCAGCAGAAGAAAAGGCAAGCCCAGGTCTCTTCTGTTCCCAAAGCATCCCAACAATCCAGCACCCACTTCATCCACAAGATAAACTGTGTTTCTGTGACCCAGCTGCACACAGGTCCCGCCTCCTGTGTCACTGTTCATGTTCCCATGTGGTATTTGCTGGTTCAATAATCCAGTAGGCTCAGCATGCAGCTGTCAGCTTTTCCAGCATAAATCTCAAATTTTACAGATTTCCCGTTGTTTCACACACAGA